CTTCCTTCCTTCCTTCCTTCCTTCCTTCCTTCCTTCCTTCCTTCCTTATCTTTCCTTCCTTATCTTTCCTTCCTATCTCTCCTTCCTTCCTTCATCTATGGAGATTCTCAGTAATCCAGCTCATGGTTGAAAAAACACCTTTGGGACTTCCTTCCTTCCTTCCTTCCTTCCTTCCTTCCTCTTATCTCCTTCCTTCCTCTTATCTCTCCTTCTTCTTATCTCTCCTTCTTCCATCTCCCCTTCCTTTCTCTTATATTTCCTTCCTTCCTTCCTTCCTTCCTTCCTTCCTTCCTTCCTTCCTTCTCTAATCTCCCCTCCCTTCCTCCCTTCCTTTTCTCTCTATTCTCCCCTTCCTTCCTTCCTTCCTTTCCTCCCCCCCCCCCCCCCCCCCCCTTTGATTTTCATTCCTGAATTTGGGCTGTCTGGCTATCCACCCCCTTCCCCTGTGCTGGCTAGGGAATTCTGGGAGTTGAAGTCCACACATCTTAAAGTTGTCCAGATGGAAAAACCTCTGCTGTAATGTGCATTTCTTTAACACAGTTTTGACCCCTTCCTTCCGTTAAATATAAGAGGCTTAGCGGGCGGGGGGGGGGGGCAGAAAGTACAGTTGCCTCTTCATCTCCTTTTTCTCAGGAGTTGGGCTGGAATCAGAGTTGGAAGGGACCTTGGAGGTCTTCTAGTCCACCCCCCCTGCCCCTAGCCTAGTCCATTTCAGACAGGCATGTTTGAACCCTCCAGGGATGGAAATCCCACTGATTTTAGACCCAGCCCAAGGGCTGCAGGGGAAAAGAGAGAAATTTAATCTGGAGACTAAAATTAAATGATTTAGGTGCTCAATCACCTCCAGGGCACACACCTGTTAGGCCTGCAAAAGCTCCACCTCTCCTCATATAAACCCCCAAAGGTGAGCAAGATAGCTATTTGGCTGACAGAAGGAGTGTTTGTTGAAGGGCAAGGAGAAGACAGGCAGAGTTTGAGAGAAAGACACATGGAAATGGTTGCAGAATAATCTCAAAGCCAAGGCTGGTTTATCTGTTTCTCAGCCAGGATCCCTGAATTCTCAGCCAGTCTGTGACTAGCTCAGCTAAGATTTTTTTTTCCCCTTGAAGGTAATTCTAGATTATCTCAGGGGTGTGTCTCTGTGTGTAATATTGTTTTGTCCTGGGGATTTGACTCTTTTGTATCAGATGTAATGTGGATTAGTGTAAGGATGTTTTAACTTCCTTCCACTAACCCACTCTTAATTTAACTTCCTGAGTAAAAGCCAGATCTTGCCAAACATTCAACCAATGATGGTTAAAGCTAATGCTGGTTTAGTAGAACGTACAAACCAGGTTTGCAGAGGGTTGCCTCCCTATACTGAATATTTGAGAGTGCTCTTGTCTGCTAGTGGCAACTTGAAGATGGCTGGCTAGGGAATTCTGGGGGTTGAAGTCCACCCATCTTCAAGTTCCAAGGATGAGTAGTGGTCTACACCAAATGTGAAGGTGGTACTGCAATCTTCATTGTCCTGGGCAAGTAGCTAAGCATCTTACATGCTATGTCTGTCTATCCCATGCTTGTATTGGCTGGGGAGGATGGGGGTTGTTATTCTAGCTAACAAGTTTTAATAATAGTATCTGGAGAGCAGCTGGCTGGGAATCATACTGGCTTCTTTTGAACACCCAAAGTAGGGAACAGGCCAACTATCTAAAGCTTGCGGCAGATATGTGGCTGAGAGATTTTGAACATGCCAGCACAAAGCAATGACAATAACAGGAAGATCTGGATATCTCCTATGTTTAAAAATAACTCTCATTCTTGGTTTGTATGCTTGTAACCCAGAAGTATCGCATTTTACTCTAAGATGGCGTGTGGGCAGGTTGCACTTGGCTTAGGTTGTTTCAGATCTTCTCCTTAATGGTTGCAGCCATCATTTATGGCTTGATCTCTGAGTCTAGTCAATTGTGGCTTAAACTCCCAACTGAATAAGCAAACTATAGCTTGAGGGGTTCTTGGTGCTCTGTGAGCTTGTTTTCTTGCAGGGGTTTCATTACCCAAACTAGGTAACATCAGTACTAGCACTGAGGATGTTATCTAGATGAGTAATATGATATCTGCAAGAAAACAACTAAACCCAGAGAATACCAAGGCCCTCACAGTCCTCCTCCTCCTCCTCCTCCTCCTCCTCCTCTTCCTCCTCCTCACCACAAACTCCATTTCTAGCACTGATGATGTTACCTAGTTTGGGTAACAAAACATCTCCAAGAAAACTAGCTCGGAGAGCACCAAGGACCTCCAAACATTCTCCTTTATCAGGAAACTATAGCTTGATATGTGTGCTACGAGTGCACAGACAGGGGCATCCAAAGCCTTTGGCAGACCCAGCCGAGATCCTGGTGAGACATGACATGCCCTGTTGGTTACAGGAACAGGGCTGACCTCAGGTCTTCTGCTCCAATCCCCACCCCACCCCAGTTGTGTTCCTGCAGGGGGCTTCCTCTTGCAGAAGGGGCAGCATGAAAGATGAAATAGCCGCCGCCGTCTTCTTCATCACCCGCCTGGTGAAAAAACACAACAAGCTGAATAAGCAACAGATGGACAAGTTTGCCTGCACGCTGACCACGCTTCTCTTCGAGAGGTATAAAAACCACTGGTATCTCGACAATCCCACAAAAGGACAAGGCTTCCGGTAAGAGACACCCCATTCCCCCAGGGGGCGCCCCTCTTGGTCTAGTTCTCTTGCCAAAGGGGGGCCTACCCCTCCTGAATACAGACCCAGATAGCGTCTTCCGCCCACCCCAGCAAAATTCTCAGCCAATCGCGGCCTGTTTTTTTCCCCCTCCCCCAAAATATGAAGAGAGCTGCTTGAAGTCAACACCAGGCCCATCCATTGGGTAACCCAATATAAGTACTTGCTGGTGAGAAGAGGGGCTGGTAGCAGCAACAGCACGACTCCACTTTCCCTGGTTAGAAGGTGGTTTGGGGTCTTCCTGATCCCCCAATCTGCCCCCCTTTTTTTTGGGTTCCCTGGCTAAATTTGTGTGGCATGGAGCAGAAGGGCCCATGGCTAAGATCTCCTCATCAAACACTCGAGTTTCTTGGGTCATCCCAACCTGCTTCCTGGGCTTGGTGAGAAGGTGGATGGCAACCATAGCTAGAGATGTGGTGGGATTCAAATTTTTTTACTACCGGTTCTGTGGGCGTGGCTTGGTGGACTTGGTGGGCATGGCAGGAGAAGGATACCGTAAGATCCCCATTCTGTCCCCACTCCAGTAACCTGCTTTCCAGCTCTGTTCTCCTGTGCAGGGCAACCAATGGAGACCCAGCTGATCAGCTGGGACTCAATGGGAGGCAGAGAAGAGATGGGGTTGGTGGAGCCAGTCAGATTGGTGGGATTGGCCGGTTCTCTGAACTACTCAAAATGTCTGCTTCCAGTTCTCCAGAATTGGTCAGAACTGGTTGAAGACCACCTCTGATGGTGGGGCTATATGCCAACACACACAGTGAGGTTTGGAGCCTTGGCAAACCGAGCAACTGAATTTCTATCTGGTTTTGCTGCCTAGATTAGGAACTTGGTTTTAACACAAGGCATGTAACCGGGTTCCTGGAATAACCCTGTCTGGGCTTGCTACTCTGTTGATGCCTAAATGAACATAGGCTGTCTTCACACAACCCATAAGTGCTGTTCAAATGAGCAAAGTGTAGCCTTTGAGCTGCCATCTTGACTTGTCTGAATGTGGATGGGAAATGGGTTAGTCTGGATCTTTGCTCAGGGCTCCTTTGTCCCCGATGCCTTTCACAAGTTCTCTGGCTCCTTTGCTTGGCCTCCCCTTCTCAGTTAGAAGAAGACGTTGTCAGGATTCCAGCAATCGCCCTAATTAAATCATGATTCTGGAGCCAACCTTAAAAAAACTTCAAAAGATTCATTAGAGGCGACAGACTGGCACTGCCTTGATTGAAGCCAGTTCTGGCATATGTCATTTACAGCCGCTGTGATCCCATTTCCCCCCTGGGTGTGTCATCAATCAGATTCTCCAACTGAGCACTGGGGGACAGGCTGGGGGTCATCATTCGGGTTCTCCAATTAAATATATTTGTGGGGAAAAAAACTCTGGCATTTTAGTTACAATCTTTTAAAGATAAGAGTTGGAATGTACTTTTGCTTTCAATTGCTCTTCCAGATTTCCTTCCTCCCCTCACCCTTTTTTTATGGCAACTACTAAAACAGGCATAGGAATGTTTTATGAGTTGACATATGTCTTGATGACCTCCCCCATTCCCACTGGTGGGAGAGTGTTTTAATCTGCCTAGCTCTTTTCAGGTGCATCAGGCTAAACTGCTTTCAGGCCAAAGATCCACTCTTGGACCAAGCGTGCATGGCGAGCGACGTGGACTTTCAGAGCCTCGGTTTGCCCAAAGAGATGACCATCTGGGTTGACCCCTTTGATGTCTGTTGCAGGTGAGACTACCGTGCCGGAAGGGACTTCCTTCTCTGCCCCCTGGGACTGGTGTTTTGACATCCAGGCAAAGTCAGGAATTGGGTTAGCCCTGGTTTGCTAATCCAACTACAGTGGTGTGTGTGAGGAGGCATTAAGGCAAACATTAGCCTGACAAATGGGCACAGCCCAAGAGTAGATGCAATGGCCTCCTTTAAGCTGACTCTGCCCAGGTTGGGTGTAGGGTGTTGAGCCAACCAAGCAATTGCAATTTGTTAAACCTGCTGCGTGGCTTAGCCTGTGGTAGGTGTGTTTTTATTTTATAGTACGTACAAAATGTGTGTTTTCGTTCTATGGTGTGTTTCCCAGATCCACATATGTCAGATGGGTGGCAGAGAGATGGGAAGGAAGGAAGGAAAATGGGAAGGGAGGGGGGTAGAGAGAAGAGAGAAAGGAAGGGAGAAAAAAGGGAAGGAGGAGGGAAAGAAAGAGGGAGGAACAGATAGTAAATTAAAAATATAATAAATGTTTTGGGGCAATGAAGGAAGAGGTTTGGGAAACCTTGCTCTAAGGACTGAGTTATTCCTTGCTTGGGGCTTGGCTTGCTGCCCTGCCTAACCCCATCCCCCATTTAGATACGGCGAGAAAAACCCAGCGTTCACCGTGGCTCACTTCACAGGCCAAGAGGATGACTGCGACGTCTCTCAGGGCATCCGGCAGGCGGTGGAGAAGGCCTCCTCCACCACCTCCGATTATCACTCCGGCACTTCTTCTGAGGAGGATGGCACCACTAGGGAACCCAAAAGCATCCCAACTGTTAGCAATCCCAACAGCATCTATCAGGTGAGAGGAAGAAGCTGCGGGTGGCTGGGACTCCAGGATTTCTCAATCTTGGACCCTTTAGGATGGGGGGACTTCAACTCCCAGAATTCCCTAGCCATTGAAGTGCATTCAAGCTTACCAAGGATGAGATACACCTGTCTCCTTCTCTCCCATCCTCTCCCGCCCTCCCTTCCTTTTCTCTCTATTGTCCTATTCCTTCCTTCCTTCCTTCCTTCCTTCCTTCCTTCCTTCCTTCCTTCCT